CTCCTCCCTCCCCCTCCCCGCCAGTCACGGCATCGAGCACCTCCACCTCCCCACCGTGGATCATTTCGAACCCACACCGGAGGCTGTGGCCGCTGCCGTCGACTTCATCGCGGAGCGCCACCGGCGGAAAGAGAAATGCTTCGTGCATTGCAAGGCGGGACATGGCCGGTCCGCAGCGGTCGCGCTCTGTTGGCTAGCCACACAGCATCGGGGTAGGCATTAGCGGGAGCAGGGGGGGAAAGGACGGTTGGTCCTCGGAAGTTCTTGGGGGGGGCTTTTCTTAATTTTTGGGTTTTTTGGAAGACACCTCAATTACGTTTGAATGGAGCCGATGTCCTCCCAGGGAGAAGTGTGTGTGATGGGGAACGACTGGGTGTGTGGAAAGGCTTTACGAGGTTTAATCTTCCTCCCTTGCTTCCTCCCTCCTTCCCGTCTTCCTGTCCCACCTTCCTCATGCTCAAGGTGTGAGCACACAGCTTTTAAACCAACGGCTGAGCGAAAGGAGGAAGGTGCGAAAAACTTTGTACAGGCAGAATTGTGTGAAAGGATTCCTAAAAATGCACGGGCTGAAGGTCGGAGGGGGAAAGGGGGGGAGCATGGAGATGGTGGAAGTAGGGGGGGAGGAGGAGGAGGGTGACAGCGAGGTCGGGGGAGGAAGGGAAAGAGTTGCGATGACGGCAAGGAAGAAACAGCAGATGGGAACCAACGGTTATGCTCAAGGGCGTCGAAGATGATGGTCGATGTGGAAGGGAAAAAAAGAAAAGAGTAACTTGTGTCTTCCCGGTCTATGGGCCGCTCCCGATTTCTGGTTGCCATGAGGTTCATGCATCTCTCTTCGTTGTCAATCCACAGCCTTGGTGAAATTTGCGTGGAAAGTTATATTTTAACGGCACGGCTTTGTGGTCCAAGTAGTCATGCGCAGGAAAGCAGCAAACGGGAAAGAGCGGGAATATCCACTTAATGGAGTGGGTGCTTTGCGATACAAATGCGCTACTATGAATGATCCAGATACCCGTTTTGTTGAAATTTACGAAGGAAATATAGAATCCACGTGAATTACGATCCGGAAACGCATCAAAGTCCTACTAAAAAATATTTGAGCATATCCCAAATGCCGAGCTCTACACATAGAGCTCGTGGAATGCCGACCGCGCATTTACATCCCAGCACTTCCATTATCGTGAAACGCATTCGATAGTCCATTTTTCCTGTCCATGCACAACAATCCCTTTGGTTGCCTCGCGTTGTGTCGTGACATCGTCCATCTATCTAGCCACCTACCCGGAGGTAAGGCCCGAAGCCTCATCTCTCTCTCTCTCCCTCCCTCCCCTCTCCCTTCCTCCCTCCCTCCCTCACCTTGTCCCTCTACATCTGTTTGCACCCTCCCACGTACGCCTCGTTCATTTCGGTGCCAACATGGTCTGGCCGTATGTTCTTCATGGGTGTTTTCCTTGGCTTGTGACGAAAATGGCGGTTATCAAGCCACCAGTGTCCATGCCGGTTGCTCAGCACCAATCTACCCTGTCGAATCATCAGCTCACAACATAATTGCACCCACTTCACTTCTCCCGCGTTTGGTCTCTAAGGTATTGAAGGATGGCCAGCACTGTTCGTGGAATTGTGAGCCGCCAGCAGGCTCTATGGATGAGGACTGCGGCGGCCCCAGTCTCGGTGACCCGTCGCGCCCTGAGCAACTGGTACGATGCCGGAGGGGGTAGGGGGGGAGAGGATTTGAAGGGGACTGAGTGTTTGCCGAGTCGGGAAGAATCGCTGCGCGCTTTCTGTACGAACGATTGAAGAGCTAAGGAGGTAGATTATGTGGGGAGAAGAGGTAAACATATGGTGAAGCGTGAATTTGAGGGGGCTCCTCTTGCGTGAGAAGGAGACGACTTCCTGTTGGTCGAGGCGGCCGATCTTCTCTCTCATCCTAAAAAAAACTTCTGCACATATGCACATGGTCTGAACCATTTTGTCCACAGGGATGCTCTGGGTCGGAAGGTGGAGGCGGACGTGGAGGCGAAAGCGGATTTCAACGCTCTGAAAAATCAGTGGGATGGGATTGAGAAAGACTTCAATACGTGGTCCAAGGAGGTGAGCGAGGGATGGCAAGGATGAGATGGATGGAAAGGACGGTGGGCACTGGGAGGAG